AGTCTTTCAAAGCAAAAATTGCTTAATGAGCCACATACTCTGAGTGGGGAATTGTAGCCCAGGTATTACAGGAAGTATGTCTCTTTGATTTGTAAAATTAATTTCTGTAGTCTCTTGAGCAGTTCTGCAACTCTTCTTTGTAGTGAGTCATGCTACCATCCAGAACTTCACCAGTTGTGCAGAATTTAGGACAGTCTGTAACACAGCTGAGGAAGTTTATCATTCTGACCACCTCTTCGATATTTATACTTAATGGGTAAAACTGAGGAGCAACTGTAAGACTGTCTGAAAACATTTTTCTCATACAATAATGCAGACTATTTAGAAATTAGAGAGAGCATACGGTAGTTTTATCGACATTGTGCGTGCCTTTTTGCGCTACAAAATGATTGATAACATTGCCAACTTTTAAGACAGAGAATCTGACTGAGAAGTTGCATTTTAGTGAAGCTTGTACTCAACATTATTGCAAAGAATTCTAATCTTGTGGTGGTCGGAATAATATGAGAGTTATGTTTCAAGAATAATCTGGTTTTTAAAGGTTTGATCTCTCATATCTTTTGGCAGAGAAGAGAGTTTGGGAAGTGGACCAAAACCACCACTGAGAGCCAGAGACTTCATGGCCAGTAATCCTGAACACCTGGAGATTCTGAAGAAGATGGGAGTCAGTTTGATTCATCTGAAAGATGGAAGAGTACAATTAGTACAGCATGCAGTGCAAGTAAGACCTGACAGTAGTTTTTCTGAAAACCTCTAGTAAAATCCTAGTAGCAATGATCTTTGACACGTAGAGGTTCAGGAGGGACAGCCAGACTGTGGAAGGGGGCACATGAGCTGAATGTGCAGCTATGTTTAGCAGGTCGATGCTTGTTGATATTTTGCCTCAGCAATGCTTTTAACTAATTTCCCATTAGATTAGATGGAGGCTGTTCCTGTCAAAGTGCTGCAGTCAACAGCATCTTATCTGAAAATACCAGTTTTCAGTGTGAGATACTTCAGTTTGTTTAGGAGGTCTATGTGTTTATATATCTTTAGTCTACAGTGCGGTGGAAACGCAGAAAAGTTAAATTCCTCATTTGAAATTATGAATGAGTGCCAGTGAGCGTCCACTCTGTATTTTAAAATCTTTGTAGCAGTGATCCAAGCAAACTGAACTTCAATTTTTTTTTTTTTTTTCAAAGTTCCTCAAACGCTTGAGAAGAAACTTTGTTGTTTTTTCACTACTCAGGCAGCAAGTTCACTTGATGCTGAAGATGGCTTACGGTTCATGCAGGAAATGATTGAACTCTCCAGTCAGCAACAGAAAGAGCAACAGCTACCTCCTCGTGCTGTTCAAATTGTCTCCCATCCGTTCTTTGGCCGGGTGGTCTTGACTGCTGGACCAGCACAATTTGGGATGGACTTATCCAAACACAGAGCAGGGGTATGTAAGATGTGTATGTGATCTATTCCTGGCTTTCTGTTACTTTCCTTACTGTGTAAGCCTGAATTTGACAGCACTGGTACTATTTCAGGGCGACCAGCTAGAGGGTGATCAATTAATTACAGTGGTTAAAATGACAGGGCACAGCAATGACGGAATGACAGCAGTGACAGTCTTTTAGATAAGTGACTTATTGGTCTGTGGCCCGTGCTCCGCTCCTGTGTCATCAGTCATGATTTAAGATTTAAAATGCGTACATAGTATGATTTTTGAAACAAATTTATATCCTCTGCAGTGCATATCTTAAGAGATGTTAAAGGGAAGCTTTTTCTACCATGTCAGCCATGAATTTGCAGAAACCCTTTCACAGTTAGTCGGCTGTTCTTACACAAGCTTTTATAAAAGGCTGTATCTAGATGGAAGAAGAAAATATCACAGAGGCAATGGTTCCTATTGGAAGCAGTAGGAAAACCTGATGACTTCAGTTGGGCAAGATGCAGCCCAAAAGAGGAGTCTGCAGAAAGACTTAGCAGTTCATAGAAGAAAATTTTCCAGAGACAACAGTTCACAGATATAGACAAAATACACTGAATATGAGAATTAGGTTTCCACTCAGTCGTTCTTTGCTTCTTAGAACTCGAGCTTCAGGGCAAAGATTGCCTGCACTGACAGAAGACAACACTAAATGAATTAGATTAACTGAAGAAATTAAACTTCTTAGGAATCTTTTGCAAGCTTGAACCTAGTGCTCTAATTCTCTCTTTCTGTTTTTGTTTTTCCAACCAGACAAGAGGATTTGTTGCAACCATTAAGCCATATAATGGATGCTCAGAGATCACTAATCCTGAGGCAGTGAAAGAGAAAATTGCTCTGATGCAAAGAGGCCAGTGTATGTTTGCTGAAAAGGCACGAAACATTCAAAAAGCTGGAGCAATAGGCGGCATTGTTATTGGTAAATAAAATTTTAAGTTGTTAAAATCTTAATTTTACGTAGATGTAACCTGCATTTTACATATTTGAAGATACTGGAAAGCTGACAAAAAGCTGTTAAACTTTCTGAGATGGCAGCGCTCCAACACAGAAATTGCACTTTCGGAAGATGAAATGTTTTGGTTTTGTTTGGTTCTGTGCAGAAAGTGTAGCTAAAGAAATTAGGATGGGTGATTGTCACTGTTTTTGCAGATTAAAAGTTGTTATTTCAAGGATCACTGAGTGCTGAAAGAGTGCTAGCTCCTAACTGCTGAAGAAGAGCTGAGATACAAATGGAAAATGTTAAGGAAAACAAGTATACAAGTTGGCTTTTTGATTTTTACAACCAACTCACTGTTTTCTGCCTGGGATCCTCTTAACTGATGGGGCAGTAGGAGGCTGCTCGGAAGGTCTGCTGAAGTTCAGAGCTGTAGTCTGTTCGTCTAACGGGAGGTTTGCTTCTTTTTCCTTTTGTGTGCGGCTGGCTAGATGACAATGAAGGAAGCAGTAGTGACACGGCTCCTCTCTTCCAAATGGCCGGGGATGGAAAGAATACAGATGATATTACAATTCCCATGCTCTTCCTCTTCAACAAGGAAGGAAACATTATACTGGATGCAATCCGAGAGTATGAGGCTGTGGAGGTGCTCCTTTCTGATAAAGCAAAAGACAGAGGTAAGATTCAAGGTTATTTATACAAATTTACCTTCCATCCCTGCCACGGCACAGTGTGAACTGTACAGCAGTGATTTCCTTTGGTACCTGAAGGTGCAAACGCGTTATTTGGTAACTCTTGTTTTCTGTTTGACATTGGTTTATTTTTTTTCGTAAGAAAGACGTTTTCTGAGATGTGCTATTATCTGAGATGTGTCATTATCTGTCCCTTCCCTGTCCGTCCACCCCCCACGAACCAGGTTAACATTAACATCCAGAAATGTTGCTCATAAGTTGAATGTCAGTTTGACTAATGAGAAGATATACAGACTTTTGGATTCCTTTTGAACCTTTTTTGTCAGAATCTGCTTTGAAGTGGTGTCAGGAATAGCGTACGTGTTTTCAGTGCCCTACATTGTAAATGCCTCTCTCTTATCAAGATCCCCAGTGACATTGTTGGTACCCAAAAGGAAAGAAACAACTGTTACAGCTATTTTGCCTATCTAAACAGCAGTGGTTATCGTGAGAAATAAGGCTGCTGACCTCAGATGTTTTGCAGTTTTTCTCATACAAAACAAGAAAATTGCAAGCTAATAGTTACCAATTAAAATGTTTGTATATGATAGAAGATTCTGGGTTTTCCTTTTGTAAGCCCTCCTCGGAGCACTGCTTTGTCCAAGCAGAGTAAGAACAAATGTCTCCAGTAAACCAGTGACAGTGTTTTGTTTTCTGCCCCTTTCCCAAGCTGACATGCCAAAGGCTACAGTGTTGTTTCTTCATAGCTGCTTACAAATTCCTCCTGCTTATTAACGGTGGTTAAGCTGCTCTAACAAAATACTACATACAAAAGATAGCTCTGCATTTGAGAATTTGTAATCCATATCTGCTTCTTCCCCCCTCCTTGTGCTTCCGTTTGGAATCCCAGCAACAATCTTTAAAGGTAAAATGATTCCAAACTACATTATTGATAGCAGTAAGTATCCCATGTTAAATATGACATGTGCAGTCAAACTCCCTAGAAGTCTTGAAATATTAGTGTCCTGCGTCCTAGCTATAAACATCAAACTCCAAAGAAATCTGCATGGTTGAACCGGACAGCTCTCGTAAAGCTGCATCGGTACTTGGGATGTGTGTGGTAGTTGCTTTGAGTGGGGATGCGATGAGGGAGGCTTTGGCTTTGACTCTCTTTAATTCCCAGTTCAGTAAACTTATTAAACTCTGTCCGACTCCCACTTGCTTAGAAGTGGGATCCTGGTGGATCTGGGAGTGTTTTAAAATCTAGTATGAAATTTCAGTGCACGCAGTGGGTATTTGCTTAAGACTGAAGGATGGCAACCAGCACTGACCCAGAAATCACTATTCAGGTTTGAGGAACCAAAACTAGCCTCACTGTATTGTTTGCCCTTGTTTAAAACATGTTTAAATGTCTTTTCTCACCTCCCTCTGTAAAATATGTTCCTTAATAACATTAAGTTTTCATATCAATGGAAAGTCTGCACTTCCTTGAGGAGTAGAGTCAAGGGAAGTGACCTGGCTTGTGAAATACATAATAAAATGTATTCCTATTATATTTATATATTCCTAGTTTTTTTTTTCAAAACTTTTTTTTTTCTCTCCCCTCTGAAAGACTTGGAAATGGAGAACATGGACCAGAAATTATCTGAAAATGATTCACATAAACAGAATTCAGAAGAAGCTACTTCAGCGTCTCAGGATGTTGGTGCGGTCACTGAGGAGCCTGAAGAAGGAGAAAGCTCTGATGGTACTGACCCTGATTCTTTGTCTCCTGCTCACACAGACAGTGACAGCGTTTCCATTTCAAATCAGGATTCCTACGTCCCTGGAACCGATGAGGCTAGTGCTCCGGAGCCAGCATGTACACAAGGGGATCACCAGCCTCAGGAACAACAGACGGAGACAGAGTCAAATTCCAAAGTTAACTGGGATAATAAAGTCCAACCTATGGAATCCATACTAGCAGACTGGAATGAAGATATAGAAGCATTTGAAATGATGGAAAAAGATGAGCTATGACTTGTAATAATAACTTATTTGTTAGTAAATAAATGGAGAACTTTTTGGGTAGAAGTGAGACCCTGATATCTGAGAACTAGAAAACATATTCAGTATTGTGATGAGCAATCAGGTTTCACCTGGTAATTACCATAGAAATCCAGCACTCACTCTTTGTGGTGTTTTAATTTTTCCTGTTTAAAAATGGGAATGTGCAATCGAAGCATTTGTCCGGCTCCGCTGCATGGTGCTGTGACCCAGGAGGCTCCTTCAGGGAGCGAGCCCGACTTCTGCGTTCCAGGCTCTGAGAGGTCACACTCCCTGGGTCTCTGGAAGGCAGAAGTTGAAGGCAATGGGGTTGGCATACCATGTAACGGTTATTGCTGAGAGCACTCGAAGGCAGGAGGTCAGCCGCTCGTCTGGCTGGAGCGAAGGTGTGGTGTCACTGATCCCTACCGAGCCGAGAGCCTTCAATACCAGCAGGTGAAATTGTGTTTCTAGTTGTTGTGTCTGTAAGACACAGCTAGAAGCAGTTTGATTTTGTCCCGACGTATACTGAGATGGAGTAACGTTGCTCATCACTCCTTCCATCTGTTACCATGAGGAACCACCATGATGGCACATGAGTTTTCCCTTCTGCTCCACTTTCAACTAGAGAAATGGTATAAACCAAAGGCAGCGTGTACGTTGTAAGCAGGTTCCATCAGGGAAGGCTGACAGCCTTGGTGTCTACCAAGTCAAGGTTCGTGGTGTGTTGTGAAAGTTGTGCTTAAGGTTAAGTGGACGTGGCAGATGGTGAGTTACAGGAATTTCCTTTTGGCTTCCAGGTTAAAAAACTCAATCTACCCTGAGATACAGAATTAAAACTGGCAATAGTCTCTGAAAGGACACTAACCAGAACTAGATCAGCTATAACGAACATCTTCCTTTTTCTACAAGTTTGACTTCTGACAGCTTGACTTTGTTGTCGCTCTTTTTATATACAACTTCTATCCATGTGATGCTTAAGGCAACGAGGCCAGTACCGGTAGTGAAGTGCAACAATCTTGGCTGTTGGGTCCATGGTTCAAAACACAGCGGTGTGAGCCGCGAGGATGACTGGTATGTCACTCTGGGCTTTGGGAGTTCGTACAGGTGAGTGTGAGTCCTAATTTGTTATCCCTATTACGAAAAACATTATTTAACTAGAAATGGGGATGTTTAAACAACTGAGAGATGTTTTGACTGTGTCCAAAGAAACTGCCAAAAAACAATTAACTTGATTTGTATAAACTGCTTTTAGTGAATTGTGGTTCAGAGAATCGTTTTATATTAAAGAGTTCATTAACACTGCCTATATGCTGCACCAGGCTAAATATGAAGGTTTATATTCATCTTTACAATGGAATATACAAGAAAGCCCCAATGGGAATTGCACCTTTCATTTAGCTGGTGAAGCTAGGTGTGCTGAATATGCAACTGTTAATGAGTACAGCCATACTGTATTTATTTCTGTATACTCCTGTACAGGATGAATGGAGAAATCCTCTGCAAATGTTGTATACATGTACACTGACCAACACTTGCTTTCAAGAGTATCAAAATGCACAGGCACCTTTGGAGAGCATGACAGTCAATCCAAATGTTATCCATAAACTGAATGAGAATGTTAAATCACTCGAGTAGGAGGTAATTTTGAGGAGGAAATGAAGTGGTAGCAGAATAGTGAATAAGTGTCCTTTTTAAATAAATTAGCTTTTAAATGTAGTTATAATTCCTTTGCACAAAGAGCGGAGGGTGGGACTGAATGAGCAGGGCTTGAAGCAGCTGGGTTTTTCAGTTGAGAACTTTTTTATTTCTGTTTTATTACATGGGTTTCTTCCTATAAGGAATTTGGTCATGGGAGCCTCTTAAGTGTCCTTCGTTACTTGGAGCCCCAGCCCGCACCCGGGAGATGCTGTGCTCCCCTGGCAGCGCCCGGGCTCGGAGCGATGTGGCCAAGTGCAGTCAGCTGCAGGGTCAGAACCATCAGGTGCAGATCAGAAGTTTTCATTCCGATAATTCCTTTGATCTGTCAGTGCTTAGTGCCACAAGAGGAGCATTTTTTTTTCTCGTGCTCTTCGACGTGGACTACATCTTCCTGCTTGTTAGATCTTTTGGTGGAAACAGAATTATTTTTATAGCTCTAGAGGCCCCCTGGTCATTATGTTAAGGCTGTTAACACAGCAACTAAAGGTTTTATTTTTTTTTTACTTGCAGAACATTTAGGTGTAGATGTAAAATTTTATTAAAGTATTCACTTTCCTTGCCACCACCAGCTCTTTTTTATTAAACTGCTTTTTCCACACCTGTTGATAAAGCAGCAGATGTTAGCTCTCCTTTTAAGGGATTTTTGAACAATCCCAGAACTCTCTGGATTTGAAGCATCATTTTTGTGGTGGCCTACCTCATAACTGTTGCCTCCTTCCTTTTCAGTTGTGTTGGGTTTTTTGTTTTGTGGTTTTGTTTTTTTTTTCTTTCTTTCTTTTTTGGTGTTTCAGTCTGCTCTACTTTGAAACCATCATGAGAGCCATAGCTTTGTTTACAGACTGAACTGGGTAAGGTTGACCTTTTGGGAAAGAGGATTAAATTGGAGGGAGCAGTTTTATTCAGGTTGTTTTCACTTCTTATTTCCTTCTGAGAAACAGCCTTTAGTTTAACCTTTTCATATCATTCTTAAAATAATTCAATTTTCTGTCACTGTCATCTTAAAAGGCGAAAAGAACGTATTCATCAAAAAAACCACCTTTTGGAGAGGAGAGTAAGTGTTCTTCCCAGATTTTGAGAGGTCTGCTCCCTCCATGTGGAATACTGCTCACCAGTCGTTAATCAGTAGCCGGCTCTCTGTACGGTATTGTACATTACTGTCTGGTATTGAACACTGAAGAATTCAGGAGGCACAGCTGGAACTACCACTTATTCCATGCCATGTAGTTCAGAACAGCCAATTACTTTCTTATTTGATCTTAGAGGAATTTTCTCAATTGTTTACATTTATTGTTTCTTAATGAAGTTTCAAAATGAGCCCAGCTTTGGTTCTCCTCCTCCTGCCAGCGTCCCTGAAGGTCTCGCGGTAGGCATGGATAAGTGTACGGTGAGAGGTTGAAAACAGGACATCTTATGCAAAAGGCATCAGTCAGAACATAGAAAAAACAAAAAACAAACCATTCTGTGAATGAAATATTGTATGTTCAGATTTTATAAGATTTTTTTTTTTTTTTTAGCCAGCCCAATTTACAGCCCTATATTTTCTTATGAAAGATGTCTAATACCAGGTGCTGTAACACTATTGTTTCACTGTCTGGTTATAAGTGTATACAATATTTCTAAGGGCAACGATGTACTGTGATGTAAAAGTCTGGGCTAAAATGTATATAATCTTGTGTACAGAATTGTGTACTTGGTTATAATTGCTGATTGTAAAGATTTAATAAAATGTAAATATTCTGGTCAAGCTGTGCTTGAGGGACGGTGATTTCTGAGTTGCAGGGCCAGCTCTCTTTGACTGGAGGTCTAGCAAGGCCTTTGGTGGTCACACCAGTACTGTCCCATGTCTTTATTAGTGACCTTAACGCTGGGAAATTCCCAGCCACCAACCTGGGGGCCGCCAGTGCCCCTCCCTGGGGGCTTCCAAAGGCCGGAGAACACGCTGGTGGGAAGCTCAGAGTGTTCTGCAGGAGGAGGACGTAGCCCTGTCCTGGCTGCTGGAGGGCAAGGAGGTGGCTTTGGAGGAGCCAAGAGCAGGGTGACGGCAGCAGCCATGACCGCTGGAGCGGGGCGGGTGTGCGGCCGTGCTGCCAGGGGTGAGAGCAACAGCCACGCTGCAATGCAGGAAATTCAGAAATAAGGGGTAACCTCTCCCTGTGAGGGTGGCCAAACACAGAGATATTAGATATACACCCTTCCAGTGTCAAATTGAAAGCAGCCTCATCTAATTTGACTATTTCAGCTTCACCTTCAGCAAACTGCATTACTTTTTTTTTTTTTTTTAATAAAAAGCAGCTCTCTTAGAGGAACCAGTGTTCTCTCTTAGCAATAACCTCCTGCTGTCCTTTGAGGATTTGGTTTTCTCTCTCCGTGTGTGCCTCTACCCCCTCACCAGCCACGATGCCCAGGTGTTGTCTGAAAAAACAAAGAGTTGCCCTCCCATGGCAGATTGACTGTGAAAAGGCGAAAATATTAGGCAAAACTATAGCCAGGGTGCCCTCCTGTCCCTGCCCCTCCTCCTATTTCTTTTCTAACAAGAAATCAGGGATATTCATTTACTTATTTCCAGGTCTGAACATGTTCCGCTACTCCCCTCTCCAGGGACACTCGTTGCACAGCTGGGTGAAGAGTAAAGGGAGGCTCAGCAGCATCAGTCCCTCACACCTCCTCTTAAAACCATCTTTAACAATTACTTTATCCAATAGTTGTATTGATGGGCCGTTACTCCATTTTCACAGCTCCGCTTTCCAGTTCAGTTGCCTGAAGGTGGAGAACTTCACTGGCTCTGACACAAATCCAGCCTCGGCTGCTGCTCATCCTGAGACCCATCATTCATGTCGGCCCGAAGCTGCTGGTGGCAGGAGTCCCATTTTCTTCCTAAGTGCTACATAAAAAGATAATGTGAATAAATCTTTCCCGCTGGAATGGTCCCTATAAAACACCGTTTTCCTGGACAGGTTCCCCCAAGCTGTTAAACCTCAGCGCAGGTGAGTTCATCTTTATTAATCCTTTGGTAGAGGACACAGCGTGATGGCGTGACACCGGGGCTGGTCCAACCACAGGGTCATTTAAGCCAAAATTGTAAGAAAAAAAAGTGTGTTGAGTGCTCAGTGGTACCACAGGTGCTTTCGGGGAGCCCTGGGACAGCTCGGGCACCCTGCCAGCTGCGACACCCGGACAGACCTGATGGCAGCAGTGCAGGGCAGAGAATGAGAAGAAAGACAGAAAACCAGTTTCACCATTCCTTACCGGAGCCTCCCTCTGCCCTCACGCCCTTCGCCGGGTGCTGCCATCGCCTCTGTGTGCACCGGGCTGCGAGTGCCGGCCTGGGAAGGAGCCGCAGGGTTTGGGTGTGAGTTCAGGGCTGGTCACACCGAATTTGATGCATTTTAGGATTTCTCTGTGGACCTCTTCTCCTCACGGACAGGGGGTGGTAACAGAGGAAACCCTGATGGTTAGAGATGTGCGTGATCCTCCCGTCAACAGCAAAAGCCATTT